CTCGTTGACGTTCTGGTCCAGGCGATGATACTCCACGGTGTTGCGGGAACATAAACTGTCTTTCCAGCGACGGCTCTGTGCAAGAAGGAAGATCTAAAAAAAAAAAAAAGAGGGGAGAAAAGAAGATAGAAATCAAATTAATCTGAGTGATGTCCATGTGCTGATCAAGTAAAATTGTCTCTCGGATGACAGCCTAGCAGAAAAGATGAAAAGACGACATAATTGGAATCCTTTTTTTTTTTTTAACCAGTAAAATCCAAAGTGATATGCGGAAGCATAATATACGATAAAACACCTTCTTCTACTGACTAAAGAGAGACAGAACTTCTGTCTCTGTTACACATGATCACAGTTTATCCTATTGCAGATGGTGAACAGAACAAATCACAGAGCATTTTCTTCAAAACCTATTAAGGAGTGCAGTGCTGAGGGTGTTCATCTGAGAATGTCTAATGTTTTGCAACATCAGGCTGTGTAAAGCACTGCATGCAATTTGTGAGGTTGTGCAGGAGAAAAAAAAACAGTGCATTAAATGGGTCAGTAAAATCCTGTTTCCCAACACAAACCTGGAGTTTAACACATTTATAAAACAATCCAATAAATAGATAATGGAAACATTAGGCACACATTTCTGCTTTCCTGAATGTGTAAATCAAGACACAACAAGGCATTAGTGTGTCTTATCGAGCTAGAACTCCTGGGATTGTTTTACCTCAAAGAAAATCAAGTCATGTTTTACAGGACTGTGTTTTATCATTCTATTGCTCCTTCTTTCAATTAATAGTTTAGTCTACAACATGTGAAAAACATTTTTAAATGTCCCATTACACAAAGCAAGCTGGTAACATCTTAGGCTCTGAATGTCAAAATGCTTAATCTTTCTCAACAACAGTTTACAACAATTTAACTTTAAAACAATATGTAACAAAGAAGATTTGCGAAACTACAAACTTGAGATACTCCTGTAAGTATTGGTAATTAATTTTCTATTAGTTAATTAATAGATATACAACTAGTTTTTTTTTGTATAGGGGTGGTAGCTTACCATGTATGTATGTATGTATGTATGTATGTATTTGCACTGTTTATTATTTTTATATTTGGACTTGCACTGTTATATTATGTTATATTCTGTGCTTGCACTATTCTTGTTTTATGTATATTTTTATACTTATGTTTGTGCTGGTTTTTACATGTACATTTTTCTGTCTTGTATGTGTACTGCTGCCTACAACACTGTGAATTTCTCCACTGTGAGATAAATAAAGGCATATCTTATCTTTGTTTGCAAAAATAAGGGGAAAAACATCATTGGGCGTTGCAATCACACAATAACAAGTTCTTGTTTCATGAGCCTCGTGCACACAGGACTTGAGCTGCATCATAATCTTTGTCCTACGTCCTGAGCAGTCTCCCAGCTGTTGTCATGCCAGCACTAACCTTCCTCTTGTTGTGGTAGGTGATGTAGACAATGGCCACCAGGAAGGCCAGGATGACCAGATGAAAGAAGAAGTGGGAGTCCTCGTCCTCTGTGT